CGAATCCCGCCGAATGTGCGGAAAAGACAATAAGGCGAGAGGGAAAATGTCGTCCAGACTAGAGACGAGAACTGCATTGCAAAGCGAAATTCAATTAAAAATCAAGCCTTCGCAACTCATCTCAAGAGAAGGAACTATCGGTGAAATACATCAATTATTCGAGACTAGTAAGTCTCTGCAGCAACGTTATACTCCAATCTACGGGCTTTAACGTCCACAATTGAAACTGCAGATGATTTAATTAATATTCAGAGATAAAATTAGTGAATTATGAAATGAGAATTGAAAATAATTAATTATACAAAATTGCTATTTGCCATGTATTTACACGTCAAAAAATTATATATCAATAGTCCAAAATAAAAATGGGGAGCATGAAAGTCGAAAGTCAAATGGTTTAAAGTACAACATCAGGCAAGAAGCCAGAACAATTTAGCGCACCGCACAGGCACGGTCTGGTCACACTTCGGTTTTTCTTAACGGTAGATGAGAAGTTCATATCTATCCGGGAAGACTCGTCCGAGGACGATTTGGAGACTGCAACTGTTGCTGCTAATGCTGATGCATCTGGTGTTGGTGCAATTGACGAAGCGTCTGTGGCAACTTCTGATGGCCTTGGCATTGTCATGGACTGTACTGACGACTTGGTGTCAGTTCTTGCAGCCAATTGTGAAGAATATAATGCAGAATATGAATGGACTAACTGAGCCTGGGCATAGTGGTAGGAGAGTTCCGTACCGGCTAGGATCTCAGTGTTGGCGAAAAGAGCTGGATAGGGCGTCATGCTGGTCAGCCGAACGGGTATGATATCCAGGTTTGGCTGACAGCTGTGATTAATGAAACGGGCGATGTTGTAGCATTGACCGGTCGGACCAAGATGAACATGAGCATGACTAGATAATAATGCAGTGATGTGTAGAATACCAAGAGGCTACCATAACAGGGAAAGATTTGACATATACAATAGGTTTTGGAAAAAGAAACAAACAGAAATGCAATACAAATCGACATGAAATCCTGAGCAATCGCAAATCCAAGGAGAGGAAGCTATATACGAGTAGGCTCCTGTTTGAGACATTCCAAGATGTTAGTCTCATGCCAATTATGTATGGAAGATAATAAATGAACATATGATAATAGATGTTTTCCTCAAAGCATCACTTGTGACAATAATATGACACCTAGAGACACCCAAATGATGCAGAATGCCACAGCCTTGACTCTCTCTCTCTCTCTTAGACAAAGGACTGGTAACTATAGGGTCCAATTAGCGGGACTAATCAAACAGTGCTCGGAAAAATTCTAATAAATTTGACTGTAAGTCAATTGGGCGCTTTTAGGAACGCCGGTGACCAGCCAATCAACAAGATAGCAAAGTTACCAAGCGATGAAAGCGTAGACTCTGAAGAGGCGATGTGTGTATCGTGAAGAATATATGGTAGGGCTCGCTATATTGAGAGGGAGAGAAGTCAATTAGGGAATCGTCAATGATCCTGTCGGGTAGGAGCAATGCTAAAGGATGTTAGGCCATCTCTTGACATGGTTTTAAGCCGTCTTGAAAAATGTTAGCAATTCCTTGTGTTTAACCCAATTTGTTTCGGAATGAGAGTGATAAAC